ATCCTGACTCGCTGCTGGGTGGTGTGGGAGGCCACCGCACCCGTCTGGTCCTCGCTTCCCTTCACCCGCGAGATGCACAAAACCTTACGTGGCAGGGCTGTGGCAAGGCTCCAAGAGAACACACGTGAAGCTCCTTATACCAGAGCCGACCCGTGAAGGGCCTTCGGAAACTCGGGCGTTCTTGGTCATTATCGGTGCTTCCTCTGCTGAGTGGATTTCTGGCTCTCTGAGACACCTTGAGCTTCTTGAAGGCAAGATTTTGTTTTGATTCATCTCTCCATCCTGAGTGCGTGGCACACGGCAATTCCTCAAAGCATCTCAGGTGAGTGAGCAGAATGAGCATATGGACGTATTGATGGACATCTTGTCCCAACCCAGTGCTTCTCAAACTAGAAGCCATGTGCACCCCAGGACGAGGCAGGGGCCGGGGGAGGGTGGCATGGTGCTGGCTGGGCCAGGGGGTCCCAGTGCTTAAAATGGGAGCATTCTCCTGGGTCATCAGGTTGACAAAGACTTTTTGTTGGAAATGTGCATGTGTGTGTCATTTTAGTATTCACACCAACACTGATGCATCATGGAGCAAAATGAACATTCATATGAATTTCTGATATAAAGCACGACGCTTGAAAGCCATCCCATGCCCTAGTCAGCGCCCGCAGGCCATGCCTTCAAGCCTTGGCCCCGTGGGCCGTGGTGTCTGTGGCCAAGTTAGAAATATGCAGCTATCCCGACCTAAGGTAGGGATTGCAGACAGCACGGAAGGTCCATGGGGGATGTTTGGAGACTGTCAGGGCCCCAAAGGCCTGAGGTCAGGCCATGACAAGAGTAGAAGGCCCTACCGATGGGCAGCGAGGCCATGGAGCTCTGATTTTACTGCAAGAGAGACAAAAATAAAAGGGAATTCATTTTGTAAGACAGGTTACAAAGTGGTCTCTTAAGAAACTATAAAGTGCTGCTTGGTCTGTAATTGTTGGTAAATGGACTCCTAATAGTATTCGCATCTTCCTGCAAAGTCTATCCATTACCCTAACAGAAGAGGGAGACGCGTACCCACAGGCGCCCCTGCAAATAAAGGCCTGATCTTCTCCCAGATCAGACTCACCCCAAGACAAATCCTCTCCACTGGAGGCTGACTTGAGCCCCGTTTCTTTTCCTCCCACCATGGGGATGGCTGAAGAATCAGGAAGCCGTAAGTGAATGAATCATGCAGTGCAGTGAGGAGGAAAATTTTGCTTCATGGGAAGTTAGAAATCTCTTCCCCTGAAGGGCAGCACCCCAACCCCAGCCCAGCCCACGACGTCTGTATTTCTTGAATCCTGGCTGAGCGCTCAGGGCTGTGCCCGGTTGAGGACCTGGAGGTGAATACAATCCGGTCTCCATCAAGTGATCTGTCCAGGCTGCCCTGTTTCCTATGATGCTCCTTCAGAAGTTCCGAGACCAGCCAGTGGCTCCCTGATTCTTCCCTCTACCTTCCCCAGCCTGTTCCCCACCTGGGACTTTTCTGCTCTCAGCGCATTCAAATCCACATCACATGGAGCCCGTCTCCTGCAGGGGCAGCTCCGGGGGCCCAGCGCCACCGCGTTCCTGGCCCCCATCTAAATAGTTCCCATGCAATCCTTGCTCAGCTGTTGGACCCTACGTGACAGCTTGGAAACGCAGGCAGGGACAGCGGACATAAGTGCCCATGGTTGTCCTGCTGGTGAGCGGTGCAGCCTGCTGCCCGGAGCTCAGGCCTCTGCTGGCCGCCTCCCAGCCCCGCGGTCACCCAGAGCCTCCAGTGGGCCGTGCCCTTCCAGACAGTGGGATCTGTCCCCAGCCCCACTAGGTACCAGTCCCGCCTCTTCAGACAGAGAAGCTGGCACTTCATTCTCTAGACTCTGAGGCTCAGGCCACCTTGTTCCCCAGACGAATGACTAACTTGTTCTCTCAACACAGGGAGGTGTGGGGAGAAGGCAGTGACCCGCCCCTTCCAGACACCTATCACAGACACCTGACGGGGCCCTCATTCCCCGGGCCAGGTCTTGTTCCCTGACAGACACGGCTGATAGCTGCCAGCCCGTGTGAGGATGAATCACCCCAGAACCAGTTCCTACCCTCACAGTCTCAGGGGGGTGGTAAGGAGAGGGCCTCCAGCATTTCTTTCTAAGGACAACGGTCCTAGGAACACCTGGGGAGGGGGGTCTGCTTGGGCCAGGCCCTGTTCTGCGCACTTGACAAGAAGCACCTCATTTCACCCCATCACCACAAGAGTGTAGATACTACTGCTATTACCCCCATTCCAGGAGGAGAAACGGGGAGCCAGAGGTTCAGAACAGAGCTGGTGGGCTGTGGAGCTGGACCCAGACCCAGGCCCGACACTCCAGCACGAGAAGGAGAGGCGCCAGCCTCCAGGCGGCCTTCCTGCCCAGCTCACACGTGCCGGGACTTCCTTCTGGTTCCCAGCACTCCCAGTCTGCCCTGCTTGGCACCCCCACGCTGCCCAGCTCCCGCGACCCAGAGGCAGGCAGCTGCCCTCCCTGCTGTCCCTGCCTGCCTCCAAGACAGACGCCCGTCCGTGGGCTAGTGCGTGCCTCAGTGGGCCTATCGGCACCTGCAGCCCCACCAGAGGGAGGGTCAGCTCGGTCCTAAAGTGTGTGGGGTGAGGGGCTGCTGTGTGAGAGATCAGAGACAGGACAGAGGCCGGAGCCATCTGTAAGCTGGACCCTGCCCGCATCCATGACTTGGCTTCCCTGTCTGGGGTCCAGCGGGAAGCAAGGTCCATGCTCTAGAAGGAGGAGGGCCCGTGGGCTTCCCTTGGGGGCCAGGGGGAGGGGGTCGGGGAGACTGATTCCATCCAGAGGGGATGTGGGTGGGCAGGGCAATGCGCTGGGAAGGGGGAGAAGGGGAGCTGGCCTCCCTGCAGTCTACCCCCCAAATGGACGCGGTGGGAGTTCCCGCAGCTGCCGTAACAAGTTACCACAACCGAGTGGGTTAAAACAACAGAAATGTGTTCCCTCACGGTCTGGAGGCCAGAAGGATAAAACCAAGGGGTCGGCAGGTTGTGTTCCTGTCTGCAGGCTCCGGGGGGAATGCCTTCCTGGCCTTTTCCAGCTTCTAGAGGTGTCCCTCCTCCGTCCCCAGCCTCTGCCCTCACACCTGGCTCTGACCTCCTGCCTCCCTCTGATGCGGGCCCTGTCATGACATGGGCTCACCTGGAGATTCCAGGACAACCTCTCAACATCCTTAACCGCAGTTGTCAAGTCTCTTTTGCCATGTAAGGTGACAGTCCCAGGTTCCAGGACTGGGAAGAGGATACCTTGGGGGATGTACTGTGCAGCCCTCGCCCCCCACAGTGACAGTTATGACCAGTCAGCCCCATTCACAGATGAGACACCTGGGCTCAGAGAAGTGAGGGGACCTCAGGGAGGTGCCCTCCCTTACTGGGGGACACGACACAGCTGGACTGAGTTCAAGGACACCCCAGCCCAGGCACTGTCCCTCAGGCCCCCTGCAAATGCAGGGTGACCACAGCAACCCCAGGAAGGAGCCCCGGGCTCCTCGCACACAGGCCCTGAGCAGGGGGTTGGGGGGCTCTGGCAGATGCAGGGGAGCTCTGGGGGTCACTCATCCAGCAGGAAGGCAGCCTGGGGGTCACTGCTGCTGACTGCCATACTCATACATTCACTCATTCCATTCTTTCAATGTCGGCCTAGCCCCGGGGCTGCCACAGGCCCCCACCAGACCCAGCCTTCTACCCCATCGATACATCGGTCCTCAGGTAACCTCTCACGGGCCAGGTGGTCCCATCTGCGTTAGAGATGCTGCCGTCTCCCTGCCTGCGTCCCCGTCCCTGCACTGCCTGCCGAGGAGGCTCGACCGGGTGCCCCACTCCCCCAGGGCTCCACGCATCTCCTGGTGGCCCACACAGATGTCACCTGGGGCCTGTCCCAACGGCCCTAGCCAACCTAGAAGCCCCTTCGCTGCCCCCTCCCCCACTACATGCATCATCTCACTAACCTTCCTATCCACCCCTTCTACAGGCCAGGAAACTGAGGCTCAGAGGAGCCACATCCCTGGCTATTGTCACCACCGACCCACCCGGCCTCCAGTAAAGGCCTCCCTGACTTCACGGCCTCAGAAACCCCGTTCTGCGCCTTCCCTCATTGCTTCTGCTCTTCTCACTTCCAAAGGTGGGTACAGCCTGCGGGGCCGGCCCTGGCACCTTCCCGGGCACCTGAGGATCCTCCTGGCCAGTGACAGACAGAGAATGTCCCGGGCTGTGTCGCCCTGACCTTTGGTTTAAAGTCCCCAGAGCAACTGTCTGTGCCTGTGGGCCAGGCTCACGCCGAGCGAGTGCCAGGCTGTGGGTTCTGATCCCTGATGTCACGATTCTCTGTGCCAGACGGGGTTACCTCCCCTTTCCCGCGAGGCACCTGATCCACCCAAGTAAGTCCCTTCCCATGACACAGAGCGGCTCCTCCGGACGCAACCAAGCACACAAGGCCTCTCTGCCCTTGTGCTGGGGTCCCAGGTGGCCGGGAGGCAAGCACGGGCTTGCAAATGGGTGTTCGCACAGAACCTGGCTGGTGGTGGCCGCCTGGGAAGAGCTAGGGTCCCGATTCCACAGCCAGGCAAAGGGCACTCAGGGGACACGCCCAGACCAGGAACACAGAAAGTACAGCTCGGATGAAAAATCGAATCCAGATCAAAACCAAATAAAAACACCTGCCCAAGAGCGCAGCTGCTCACGCGGCCTTCCAAGGACCCCGAACCCAACAGGGATTCCTCCTCAGTCCGCAGCGCCCACCGGCCCTGGCTGCCGTCCGCGGGGCCCGGAGAAGACAGTCACCCGCACAAGCACACACGGCCTTCCAGCGACCGCCCGGCTGGCCACTGAAACACGGTCGTCAGCACAGACCTGGGAGGAACCAGACAGGGTGTCGCGGGACACACCGTGGTCGGAGGCCCGCTGCCAGAGCCCAGCAGCGCGGAGTGGGCAGCCGCCCTGGCGTGCCCCTTACCTTTCTCTTGTTCGTCGGGCAAATGTAGAAGTTGTCGATGACCGTGGTGACACCGGGCTGGAGCGTGAGCTTGGTGTAGGACGTCCCGAAGTCCGAGGACCTGGGGGGACAGGACGACAGGTGTCAGCAAGGGGTCCCTCCAGATGCAGATGGGTCCAGCCCACATGACAGCCAGCACGGGCCGCACACCGGTGTGGGCACAGCAGCCAAGACCACGTCCCCCGGCAGCAGCATGCCCCAGGCGACAGGGAGGAGACGGGGCTCCCTGGGTCTCGAGCGCTCGCTCGGGTCTGGCGCGGGGTGTGGAGTCAGTGAACGCCAGCCAGTCTCCCCACGCGTGCCTGTCTGCGAAGGGCCCCTCGTGTGCCAGGCACTTCTGTGTCCTTCCATCTTCTCGATTCTTCGAGAGCCCTTAAAGACGAGCTCACTGTGTCTCCCTTGCAGAGGCCCCAAGGACGAGGAGGATGGCTCAGAGCAGGCAGCTTCCCGCCTGGGATCGCTCAGCTAACCAGTGCCTGACTCGGGAGGTGCGAGCTGGCCCGAGCCACTCACGCCGGCACCCTATTCGCTCTGGAGAACGGCCCTCACCGTGCTGAGGCCTCCCAGCGGCCTGCCTGCTTCTCTGTTTCCCTCTCCGGACCCTGAGCAGCTCCGGGGAGCTGCACCCTCCCCACCATGGCCACACAGAGCTGGAGGACGGCAGGGGACGGCAGGCAGGACAGAGCTCCGGGTGCCCCTGGAAACCAGGCCCCCAGCCCCGGGTCTGCCGACGAGCCCCCCCACTGCTGGCTCCATTCCAGGGGCTGGCCCCTCCTCACCTGGGGGCCCACTCTCCTGGCCGTAGCATGAGGGGTGCAGGACGGAATCTCTGGCTCTAAACCCCCTGCCCACCGGGGCGAGAGGGGGAGGGGTCATCAGAGTGATTTCACATGTGTGGTTTGGAAGCAACTGATATAGCGGGACATGGAATTAATTCCACATGGAAGCTTAAAACCTCCGTGACCCTAAAACCAATGTTCCTTATTATCACCCCATTAACATGTGCTGTGATTACAGAGCAAGGCTGGCCGTGAGCCCCGGGGTGGCCAGGCCCGTCTGACCCTAAAGCGGAACATCCAGGATGTCGGGCTTCAGGGCCGTCCCTGAGCTTCCCCATCAGGAGCGGTCAGGAGAGTCAACCCACCGAGGGGACAGGGCCAGCAGCGGGAACCCCTCGGGCCTGGGCCTCCCTGTGATTACCTTGTGTGTCCTCACAGCTGAGAGCTGCCTGCACGAGCCGAGCCCCAGGGCCGCGGGAGTCGGCTGGAAGCCTGTCCTGGGGCCCCAGCAGCACCCTCCCCCTCTGGGGGCTGGACGAGGCAGTGTTTCTCAGGCTTGCCCAGTGTTGTCAGGGCCTGGGGGCCAGCCTGGGGCCGCGCAGCATAAATGCCTGCCCTGCCAGCACGTGTCCATTGCCTTCCCCAGTACATCTTTAGTGCTTTCTGCACACATAGACTTCCTCCCCAAATCTTCAAGAGAAACCGGAGCTCCGGGAAGATGGGCCGTGTTCATTGTCTTGGTGCCTAGTGGCCACCTGTCCACCTGTCCCTGGAGGCCAGGTCCCTTACCAGCCTCAGGGCCACAAGACCCTTCCCAGACCACGACAGAGAGCAATACCTGCCCCCTGACTCCCAGGGGGTTCTGGTGGGGGCCAGTCCCCTCCCCAAGGTGGGTCCTTGACTGCCCTTGGCCTCCCCAGAGAGACTCTGCTCCAGCGAACCAAGAAAGCCTCCCTGGAGGGGTGATTAGGGACGCACTTAGTCTCCAAACCTCAGAGAACTGATTTGCTTTGGGAAGGAGGGAGCCAGAGGCCCATTAGCAGAGGAGTGATCCAGAGACCCAGGGAATTCGAGTCTCCACGGAAACCAATGGCTGTGTTTCTGAGCTTGATACATGGAAGGGTCCTCTGAGCCTCTTGGCCCCTCTGCTGTCCCTACCACCACCAGCAAGCTGAGTGTAAGACCTGCCCGTGGATTCTGCCTCCCAGATACCTTGCCACCCACCCCTCCCCTCCATCACTGACACCCACCTGCCTCAGCCCAGGTGCTTCTCAAGGATCCAGCCTCCCCCACCACCCCCACCACCACCCTTCCCCCTCCCGGTCACAGGAGCCTGCTCACACCTGCTCACTCCTGGGCACCTGCTAGTGTGGGCCTGCAGGTGGAGCAGGTCTAGGGGGGCGAGGGAGCGAGGGTGATGAATAAGAAAAATATAACAGCATCAGGTATGATCAGCACTAGGCTGGAGGGGACACTGGGACTGCTGTCTCAGAGAGGCAGGGAAGGCCCCTTGGACGCGGTGATGTTTGGGCAGAGACAGGAAGGAAAAGAGTATGTGCCTGGCTGGGGGAAAGCGATTTGTAACCTGGCTAAGTAATGTCCCCCCCAAATCTGTGTCCATCCAGAATCTGGCAATGTGACCTTATTTGCAAACAGGGGCTTTACGGATGTAAGTTATGAGGAGGTCACACCGAAGTAGGGCAGGCCCTGATCCAATGACTGGTGTCATAAGAGGGGGGGAATTTGGACCCAGGGACACACAGACACACAAACACACATGGAGAGTGCAGACAAGGGATGCCAAGGACTGCCGGCCACAGCCAGAGGCTGGGAGACATGCTCCGAACAGACTCTCCCCAAGAGCCTCTGGAAGAAACCAACGCTGCCAACACCTTCGCCCTGGACTTCCAGCCTCCAGACTGTGCACAATAAATTTCTGTTGTTTCAAGCTAGCCAGTGTGTGGTCCTCTGTTACGGTGGCCCTAGGAAACTAACACAGCCTTCCAGGCAGAGGGAACAGCAGGTGCAAAGGCCCTGAGGACAGGCTAGCTCTCCTTCCTGCTCTTGGGACAGGGAAGGAGGGATCTGTTTGAACCAGTCCACCACTGCTTCCAGCTACTGAGGCACCAGGAACTGCTCACGCTGCAGGACAATGCAAATCCGGTTCCCGTTAGTCATGAGCCCCAAACTCCAGGCCTCTTGCTGGAGGCTGAGGCCCTCAATTCACTCACTCACTCACTCCTCTGTCCAATATTTGTTTAGCTCCTTAAAGCTTCCAGCTCCACACTCCAAGTGGGAATTCAAATGTGTTCCCTGGGTCAAGTTCGGTCATGGCACGCATGTTTACGGAATACCTACCGTGTGCCGGTCACTTCCTCCTGCCGTAAGCAGGACAGACACTGTCCTGCCCTATGGGGACGACAGGCTGGCTGCTGAGAGAGACAGAGCAGCCCCGCATTTCCAGGTAAGCAGTGATGCCGATGGACATGTCCAGAGAATCTTGGGAGACTCTCCGGGGACGTGAAACCGACCTGGCCAGGGGCCACCCTCGACTGCCCTGCCCCCAGCTGCCCGCACCACCCATCTAACCACCCACCCCACCCTGCCGACTCTTCCTGCAGAATCATTCACATTTGGTGCCAACATGCCCCCCTCGCCATCCCTCTCCATCTTGCAGCCATCCACGAGGGGCCTCCGTGGGCTATAGGCTCAGAGGAGGCGGAGGCTGGTACAGGCTGGGCGGGCTTCATCAGGACCGGTGAGCAGTTTCCTGCAGCTGATGTAACACATTACCCCAAACTTAGTGGTTTAGAACAGGACAGATCTATTATCTTACAGTTTGGGAGGTCAAAATTCCAAAACAGCTCCTTTCCTCACCTCCCCGGCTTCTAGAGGCACCCACTCTCCTTGGCTGGTGGCCCCTCCTCCACCTTCAGAGGGCATCCCCCCCACCTCCCATCCATTGTCACATCCCCTTCCTCTGGAGTCTGCCCCTCCCCTCGCTGTGCCCCCAGGAAGAGTGCGGGGCATGGCTGGAATTCAGGTGCACAGGCTTCGGGGCGAAGTTTCTTCAGAGAGCGGGAAGCAGGGAACGAGAACACAGGGGAGACAGAGATGCTGCGTGCGACCCTAGTAACGGGGTCCCGTCCCCGTCCGTGTCCCTCCGATCGCTCCCCCACGCTGGCTGGGTGTCTGCCGGCTCCCAGCTGCATGCCAGGCACCAGGACACAGCCAGACGGGCTCCCAACACTCGGCGGGTAAGAATGCCGACCGCCAAGGCCAGCAGTAAACAGCCTGACCAGCTCGCCTCGCAATGGGCTGGCCTGGCCCCCGCCAGATCCCCGCCTCTCTGACTGCCTGTCTCTCGGTGGACCCCCAGTGTAGGCAGGGGACGAGAATGGAATTTATCACCGTGAATAAGTCTGGGAAAGAGAGGCTGACTGGCCTCAGTGACCAGCTGGTCAGTGGGGGCAGGTCCGAACCCAGACCTTCTGACCAACCCGGAACCTAACGCTACCTCCTCCTGAAGTCTATACAGATCACGCAGTGAGGACAGCGGTCACCAGGATCCTGCAGGAATCCACAGGCTGGGCACACAGGGAGCACTCAACAAATGCTTATTGGATTCCTATGGAGGTGCTCTGGGGGCAGACCTGCAGGCTCTGTGACCTCAGGTGAGCAGGTTTCCCTCTCTGGGCAATGAGTTTCCCATCAAAAATGTGGGGATGGAATGTGCTCATGTCTGAGCCCTGGCAGCGGCGGCCTCCATGGCCCTACCCCCACACGCCCCTCCTGAGCTGCCCCAGCGACCCCCGAGCCCCTCCCTGCCGTGCCCTCCCCCGGGGTGACCTTCCCCACAGCGCTCTGCACCCCCACCACCTCCAAGTTCTCCTTAAGTGCATCTGGGAGTGCAGGGAGTGATTATGCCAATCTGCATTTATTCAAATTAAAAATAAAAAACCCAACTCTAAAACTGGGCACACAGAAACAGGAAAGGCAAGCTCCGTTGGAAAGTCACTCTTTGCAAATCGGCTGCTTAATTGCTGAGTGTTTGTACATATTCACTTTTCAAAAAATAATTTAATTGAGCCATTTTCATGCTCTATAATTATTTCAGTGGCAGGGCCATATGTTCGGCTCCTGCCCCTCCCCGTTGTGCAGATGAGCCCCTACCTCCCACCCATCTCCTCCACCCGGCTAGCTCGGAAAACCACCGCAGCTGTGAGTAGGGGGCGCCACCTGCGCGGCTCGTGCTCCCACAGGTGAGCAGCCCCGGGTGAGG